CAGACGACGAGTATAACTCCAAGAAGAAAAGATACGTGAAAAAAGATGGGAGCTGTAACATGGTTGTGCAGCACGTTCCAGAGGAGTGGCTTCTCTGGATCACTGACATCTTCACCACCCTGGTGGAGATCCGCTGGAGGGTCATGTTCTTGACATTTGCCCTCTCCTACATTTTATCATGGCTCTTTTTTGGAATTTTGTTCTGGATCATTGCATTGACCCACGGCGATATGAAAGACCCCAACAAAGAGCCATGTGTTTATGAGGTTCGAAGTTTTACAGCTGCATTTCTATTCTCATTAGAGACCCAGACCACCATTGGTTATGGCTTTCGGGGGATGTCTGAGAACTGCATGATCGCCATCATCGTAGTTACCATCCAAGATGTCATCAGTGTCTTCATTGACACTTTTGTCATCGGCATCGCAGTCGCCAAGATGGCATCTGCCCGTAAGAGAGCCCAAACGGTTGGATTCAGCAACTGTGCCGTGCTCAGCTTACGTGACGGTCACCTATGCCTGTCGTGGCGGGTCGGGGATTTCCGAAGGAACCACATGGTAGAAGGTACAGCACATGCACAGCTGATACGGCACCTGGCACACAGCACAGGAAAAGTTAACGTTACATACAAAGACCTCAACATTGAAGAGAACAACATCATCCTGGCCACTCCAACAACCATAGTTCATAAAATCAGCCCCGGCAGTCCTCTATACAAGGTGAGCTTGAAGCACCTGAGGAAGGAGAACTTTGAGCTGGTGGTCTCTTTCACCTATACAGACGACTGCACGGGCATCCTTCACCAGACACGCACATCCTATACACCAAGTGAGATTCTGTGGGGCCAGCACTTTCAGGAGATGATCAGGGTTACCCGCAGGAACTACAGAGTGGACTACGCCCTGTTCAACCACACAGTTAAAGTCCTGGTCCCAGAATTAAGCGCAGAGGAGTGTGACCTAAAGATGTGCTCTCAACAGCCAAAACACAAACCACTCCACATAAGTTCTCCAACGGCAGCTGTGGAATTGGTTAATGAGAATAGTCTTGAGGCACAAAAAGCATCCACCAGCAGTGCTGTCCAAGAACATGAGCTATAACAGTAGACTTGATACATCCTGACTCTGCTATAGCACTTTGAAATCAGGCTTCCTCAAAGGGCATCACTATAAGAAATAGCCTAGCGCACTTAGTTAGATTTAGACATAAAGGTGTGCTGTCAGTTAGCAGGAAGATCTTAAAAAGCCCTTCTAACACAGACAGTATCCTGGACTAGTACTGGAATATCACATTAAAGCCCTGTAGGCATTTTGGCTTTGATGAGAATCCAGTTAGAGCACTAAATTCAAAATAATATAAAAGTTTTGTTTAATTAGTATTTTATTTTTTTTATGTATATCTATGTGGCATTAAGCAGCCTTGCACAAACTCAGTATCACTTTATACCACTTTATCACTGATGTCACAGATTTGATGGACATTGCAGACTCTTCTTCAATGACCTTGAAGGTTCTTTGATATCCCGAGATGTAAAAAAGGACCTCCTTGATTAAATTATGAACCCAAACCTTCAACCTACATAAGAGGCAATGGATCAATTATAATGACAGTGACATTAACCGGACCAAACTGTCAGTCAGTGTGTCTCTTTGGCATTAGCTGAGTAAGTGCAGAACACTGTTCCACCTTATTTTGCAGAGTGGTTAACCTTTCCGTCCAAAAAACTAATAAAATCTTTTGGAAACAGAGCCCCAGTGGCAATTTTCAATATTTACACAGCATGCATCCAATTCCCTTAAGGACAATCTAACGGTTGATAAATGACAGTTTAGATTTCATTGTGCAATGTATGACTGTTAAAAGACCTCTCCGCCTGCAACCAAACAATTCTAAAATATTGGACATCATATTTTAAAGGTACAATAGGAGATCTTGGAAAATGCTAACTTTAGCTTGATAGCACTGAAAGCGAACGTCCCACCCTTCCTGCAATCGCCGTCCAAAGCCACGCCCCCTGAACGCATTTACACTCACAGACCAGAGACAACATTACTACAATAGGCTACATCAGGTTCCCAATTCCAGCCCATGTTCCGAAGTGAAGTAAACTTCAACGGATTTCCCCTGCTCAGGGAGTAGGGAGCAATGAACACTGTGTAGGGATCATATCGATCGGAACACAGTTCATGCACGTAGCTCACTTCTAACGAGCTGGCGCGAGGACTGGATTAACCGCTGGGCTACATCATGTGTCATTCACAGGTGAGAAATCTTTAAAAGCACTACAATACCAGGAAGGAAGATCGGCTTGTTGATGTTTGCCTGCCATCCACGCTCTGTCTGCACAGCGTGCGTGAACGCGCTGATGAGTATCCTGTCTGCGCGAACTGGGTGCGCAGAGGTATGCTAATACATACGTTGACAGGCAGGTAGGAAAGCATATTAAAACGCTCGGACCGAACGTTTTGATTAGACGAACATTTCTTGATCCTACACCTTCCACAGAATATATAAATACAGACAAATACATTTAGACCACTTAACTTAATGATTGCTATCGGGATGTGAAGAGACTTTCAACCAGCATAACAAAAAATGTTTCTGAAGACAATCACCTATTGCACCTTTAACTGCTTACTTAGTTAATGTTGGTTAATGCATTAGTTAACGTGAACTTACAATGAACTATGCCTGTAAGCTTTATTTAATGTTTTGTAATGCTAATTTATACTACATATATACATGTAAGTTTATTATGTAGCAGCTAATACACACAAAGGATGAACAATGCTAACTCAACATTTGGGCACTGATTTGGGCTATTGGTAAACTTAATTCTAAAAGTAGAAACCATCTGAACATCAACTGATATGTTGTTCATGTTTGTAGACTGTTTATTAACATGACTTACCACTAACAAAGCATTTACTAAGGGAATTTGTGAACAATTTGTGAAAATGTACACTAGTCCAACATTAACTGACATTAACTGATAACTTGTTAGTATATGCATAAGTTAGCATTAACAAAGATTAAGTTAAACATGAAACATTATGCTGAACAGATGTGTTGTTCATTGTTAGTTCATGTTAACTAAT